ATCTGGGCCCCCCCTGCAGCTCCTGGCAGCCCAGCCCCACCTCCCCCCTGCACCATCTCCACCTCCCCTTCCTCCCCCCCAGCAGTTCATGGCTCCCCTTAGCAGGCAACATCCCAGCCTTCGCACAGCTCTTGTGTCCCCTCCCCCCTGTAGACCCTGCATAGCTCCTGGCCCATGCTCCCCCCGCCATCCGCTCGCAGATAACCAGTATTTTTATGTTACCGGCATGCCCTAATCCCCAGGTGTGCCGGATAACACAGGTTTTAGTGTAGTACTATATATTTAAAGCCCATGCAGATACCCATGGATATAAAGCAGATACCTGAACATTTGCAGGATTCTATATGCAAAATTAGTATCTGCATCTGCAAAAATGAGCCAAAGATATCCCCATTCACGGATGAGGATACCTACTGATATAAAGTGAATAACTATGGATTTTCAGGGTTCTCAATTAATTGTTTAACCAGTAAACTAATTACATGGGATTTTACATCTCTAATCCCTACCTCTCTTCTGTACCCTTCCACCCCCACCTTGCTCCTGCACCTTACCGCCTTTCCAGACCCTTTACCCGCAGCCTGCTCCTGCACCCTACCTCCCAGTCAGATCCCGCACTCTCAACCCCTCCTGCACCCATTTTGTTATCATGAGTGGTTGGCTGATGGTCTGTGTTGAGTAAGGTTGGCCGCAAGTCAAAAAGTATGAGAACCACTGCTACAGAGAGATAATTTAATAAGATTACCTTTATCAAAAGATTTTTTCTATAATTTCACTTAAATAACATGAACAGAAAAGATATATTCATAACAAGGAAAACTAGCAAAATAACACATTTGGAAGCAATGTATACCCTTCTGTAATCAAGATCTGCATGCATTTACAGGGACCTGCAAGTAGTAACTTTGATGTCTGTAAATCTTTGATTTTTACCATACTTCATGAAAAGCAAGAAGGAAGCTCTGAGACACAAGTTTATACCTACAGATGTCAAATACAATTAATGGAGATAATGAAACACATTCTCTAACATCAATTATACAGTTGGAGGGATCAAGTTGTCTATTTTAATTAAGAACTTGCACCTGAAAGCCTCCCTACCTGACAAGTGATATCAATTCCTTCCCCTTCAATGTAGAAGAGCCTCTTAACCCTGTCCCTACACATCCACCACATAGGAAACACCACCAGAACTTTTTTCAATATGAGATTGTAGATTGGCAGTTCAAGATCCTTTAAAAGAAGCACATGAATTATTCTGTAGTGATAGGCACACTATATAGACAGATGCCAACTATTTACTACGTTATTTGAACACAGTGTAACCCAGAAATTTTCAAAGTAGAGTTCTGTAACACACCTGCAATGATTATCTGTAATTTTATTGTTATGTACTAACTTTTTGGTCCATCTGACTATAACATCTGGATACTCTAGATGGGGCAGACAGAATAAAGTAATATGAAATCAGAGCAAGGAAGGAAATCAAAGATACTTAATGAGACCGCATCCTGTAAACAATCTCTTTCATATTATCCATTTGCAAAGTGGATTCAATCAGTTGCTGAAAGGGAATGAGAGAATTATCCTAGTGCACTCTTTTATGTACAGATGTTTGCTACAGATAACAAATATACAAAAGAGTTTTGTTTTTTTTTAAACTGTTACTCACAAAAGAGTTAGTCTCTTAGGCTATGTCTACACTGTGCACTTATTTCGGAATAAGCAATTCTGAAAGAAATACCCTGAAATAGCACATTTCAAAATAGCACATCTATACTACAGGGAAGCCTGGAAATTAGTCTGAGGCAGGCTCCCCTAATGTGGATGTGCTACCTCAATTTAGAGGCCCAGGAAACACCGGGGATTAATTACTTTGAATGGCCTGGGGGAGGAGCTATTTTGAAATACAGGCAGTCCCCGGGTTACGTACAAGATAGGGACTGTAGGTTTGTTCTTAAGTTGAATTTGTATGTAAGTCGGAACTGGTACATATTGTAGGGGAAACTCTCTAGCCAAACATTTTTTTTAGTTTTGGATAGCATAGGGAAAGGTTAACTCCCCTCTAATGTTTGTTTTGCTGTCTGTTCCCCTGTTCAGAAGATTTCACATCTATTTCTGTCCCTGTGACAAACTCAGGACTAAAGGAGTAACTCATCAAATACCAAACAGCTCTGCACCATGCTTTGAGCTAATAGCTTTATTTCCACACACCACCCAGGGTTCTAGGAGGAGGGTCCTTTTTTTGCTAACACAATGAGGCCAGCACTTTGTTTGTTTTGGTGGAGTCTTTGTTTGCCCAGGGAGCCCAGCATGTATAGGGGGAGGAGGGGCGGAGAGGCTGCTTTTGTCTGCTGTTCGGCAGCCTGTTGCTCAGGGGAGGGGGCAGCCTGTTGCTGGCAGGGGGGAGGGCGGAGGCGTGCAGGATGCGAGGCCGCGGGGGGGGGGCAGCGGGCGTGGGGAGGCACTTTTCCTCTGCCCGGCAGCTCTGCGGGACCCCAGTCGGAGCCGGCCCGAGGAGGAGGAGGATCCTAGGACCCAGGTGAGCAAGCCCCGGGAATGCTGCTGCGCATGTGCGGGAGTTGCCTCACCCCGTTCGTATCTAGGGATCCGACGTAAGTCGGATCCACGTAAGTCGGGGACTGCCTGTAGTAGCAGTGGAGCATCCACACAACTGCTATTCCGAAATAGCTATTTCAGAAGAGGCGTTATTCCAGGTGTTAGCTCTATTAGTTATTTCAGAAGAGGCCATTTCTTAGTCGCAATGGCTGCATTTGACAAACACTGCTCTAGACAGCCACAAACATAGGTGAATGCAGTACTACAAATGAGAAATTAACCCCACAAAAACCCTGGCATTCGAGAGCTAAATTACTGTATCCGCATTGACTAAACCATGTCACACATATATTAACATTGTACCTGTTAAATAAAGGTATATGTGTATCTTAATATATTGTTCAATAACATATCATTTGTGCCACATGGATGAGTAAATATTGCTATTCGAAACTTTGGCTTGACGTGCTTAGATATTTGATTGTTTCTTTTACTCCATTTTCCTAACTACAGGTTGGACCCCCTTGATCTGGCACCCTCAGAACCTGCGCTTTCCCAGA